ACACACAGACACACACACACACACACACACACACACACACACACACACACACACACACAAGCTACGCTGGTACATAGAAAATTAAAATTTCTTCTCCACAAAGATTATTGTCCAGCTCACTTCAGGATGTGAAACAAAAATTAATCGTCTAGATGACTTTGGCTTCAGATGTTTTCTCTTCAGCAATGGCTTTATTGTAGTATAATGAACATTATAAACCTCACCAATTTACAGTGCACAATTCTGTGGCTATGTGTATATTCAGTACAATGCTGTTGGTAGGATTATCACAGTGGCCTTCATTGTGTGCAGGTGTGAGCTTCCTTTTCCTGGTTTGTTCAGGGCTATGGCAAAAGACCCATGAGCTGCTGAGGAGGATGTGACTTCAGTGATTTTATAGAACATTCTGTATAAGTCTTGTGAGTCCATTTGCTCTATGGCACAGTTTAACTCTGATGTTTGTTAACTTGTGGGCATCTGGAGAATCTATTGTTGTGAGTGGGGTATTAAAGTTAACCTCCATACTTGCTTTGGCAGCACATATATGTCAGGAACAAGGACAGAATCTCTAGTTAGTGGAAAAATACAGACCCCCATAAGACAGGGAACTAGATCAGCTTACAGTCAGGTTGCCTAGCAACAGGACACTGAGTCAGAGCCCTTGACCCTTTCACCCTGTAAACATCCTATACAAACATCCTGTTAGCTTGCCCCACCTTATGCAGATGACAGCTTCTTGCTCCCCCCACCCTGTGGAACTATATAAACCTTTGTGGAAGAAAAATAAAGTGGCACCTTGATCAGAAACCAGACTTGGTGTCTTTCCTTTGTATCTCCTGTCCCTACATTCCCTCCTTAGGGTGGTCGAGAACCCATTGAAGCCCTGCAGGCGGGGCACATATACATATCCTGGAATGGTACAGAAAAGATTAGCATGGCCCCTGTGCAAGGATGACATACACATTGGTGAAGTATTCCATATTTTTAGGATAAAATTGATTTGATAGAGAAAAGCATTCTCCTTTGGAAAGGGGGAGGGAGATAAATACAGGAGACGGAGAGAAACATGTAAAATAACAATATGGATTGATGAAAAAGGAATCACACTATTAACTATTTTCCTAAAATAATAAAACTTATAGTGCCCACAATTCAGTGTATACATACACATACATAGTTTAATGAACCTTTCTCATCTAGGCTGATGGAAATCCCAAAGACCACTTAACAAAAAACAAAAACAAATACTGGATATCAGAAGCCCTTTTATGAGTTGTTGCCAGGGCTGTCTAAGAGACTCCTAAAACATACAGTCTACTGTTATTGCCCTTAGTTATCCTCCAGAGGTGGAAGGTAATTCCCCATTGCTGAAGACACCATGCACTTCAGACACAGGGCCCAGAGGCCCCTGAGCTGTCACTGACTTGGATGACCCCTTCCTTGCCCCCCTGACTTGAGGGCTATCTTTAAATATACAAGAAGGCACATGAAAGCTTCCAAAGGAGAGAGACACAGCAGTCCTCCCTAGCAATGACATCATGAACCACATCAGTGATGACCTGTCCAGTAGCCCTGTGGGTGAAGTAGTGGTACACAAGCCCTGCCAGTAACTGTGGTGGTTTGAGAGAAAATGACCCTCAAAGGAATTGGCACTATTAGGTGGTGTGGACTTGTTGGGGTAGGTGTGGTCTTTTTGGAGGAAGTGTGTCACTGTGGAGGTGGCCTTTGAGGCCTCAAATATGCTCAAGGCACACCCAGTGAGACAGACCACTTCCTGTTGCACAGGCAAGATGCAGAACTTCCAGCTACTTCTCTAGAAAATGTCTGCCTGCATGCTGCCATGTCCCACCATGATGATAATGGACCAAACCTCTGAACTGTGAGCCACCCAATTAAATGCTTTTCCTTTATAATAGTTGCCATGGTCATGGTGTCTCTTCACAATAATAGAAACCCTAACTAAGGTAGTCTCTAGTTGAGTTTGGTACTGGAAACCTAGATAACTAACCAGTGCTAGTGAAGTCACAGTTATTGGAGGAGAATCTATAACTATAATTTACTAAAGCAGCATAATCCTTAGCAACACCTTGTAAACATTTGTCCTTACACCAGTAGTGTAAGTCCCATAGTGTAGTCCCACTTACACCCATAAGTGTAGTCTACCTATCATCAAGGAGACTTCTCTTTGCAATGTGTAGAGACCATTGCAGAAAACCACAACCAGTTAGAATGCAGTTTGGGGACACAGTTCCAATGGATGCATCTACAAAACACTCTCCCCCCCAAGGCTCAGGGAACACTGTGGATGACCAAGCAAACAGAAAGAGTATAAGAGGAAGAGCGTCAGGGAGTTTGCTGTGATGGTGCAGGATGTTTGATCAGACTGTGTGAAAGGTGCCTTCTGATTGGTTTAATAAAGGCTGAATGACCACCAGCTAGGCAGGAGAGAGTAGGCTGGACTTCTGGGTAGAGAGAGGAATTCAGGGTTATGAATCTAGGTGAGCAAGAGACACTAGAGAGACACTGAGCAAGTCAGACATACAGAATGGAAGAGAGGTCAAAAGCCATGTGACAGATCGTAGATTACTAGAAACAGGTTAATTTAAGTTATCAGAGCTAATTGGGGACAAACCTAAGCTAAAGGCCAAGCTTTCACAATTAATAGTAAGTCTGTGTAATTATTTGGGGGCTGTCATTCCAAGAAAGTCTGACAAGAAAGTCCTACTAACTACACCCACCAAGTCTCATCAACACAATTTCCCAAACATGGGCTAAAGAGGAGGACAGCTGTGAACACCCCAACTGCATGGAGAAAAGTCCAGGAGGCCTCAGTTCTACAAAAAGAATTACAGGCAACTGAGGAAAGTTGGGAGCAGGAGAGGTGGTCTTCCCCATGTAAGAGCACACCAATTGTTTGTCCAGAGCCAAATGGTCAGCCCTGAAAACATGCATACAGGTAACATTATATGTACTCAACAGGTTATATTTGGAAATACTATATATGTACATACACACATACATAACACAGTACCAATTTAGGAACAAGAGCTCATGCATTTTAAGAAGAGCAGGGAGGGATTTATGGGAGGGTTTGGATGGAGGAAAGGGAAGGAGAAATGCTGTAATTAAAACACAATTTCAAAATAACAACAACTGCGGCGAGCTCCTCGACCAGTGAGGAAGAACGACCACCACTCGAGGATTTTTCTCAGATCACACTTTATTGGAGCGCCTCTTGATTAAGGGAGAGCTGAAGGTGAGGGGCCCCGAGGACTAAAATGGAGCTGCTCATATAGGGAATCAGGCAAATGTGCCGTACTGTGATTGGGTCCCGCCAGAATGCAAGCATGGGGAGCCACGGGATAGGCTGAGGACATAAGGTCAATTACCATACTTGCGCATGCGCAGACCTTAGGACACATAGTCCTAGGAGCATAGCCAAATATGGAGTTGTTTACAGCTAGGCTGTCAGGAAGTCAGCACCATCTTAGAATGGCGGCTCCCTACAAACAACAAAATAAGTCAGCAAATTGATGGTAAAGGGCTGGGGATGTCTTTCTGTATGCTGTGAATATGTGTTGTCACATTGGTTAATAAATAAATAAGCTGCTTTGGCCAATGGCAAGGCAGCTTAGAGGAAGGTTGCAAATCCAAGGAGAGAGACAGGAAAGAGAAAGGCAGAGTCAGGAGAGCCACCATCCAGCTGCCCAAGCAACAAGTTCACAGAGCACCAATAATGCCACGGCCACATGGCAAAATATATATTAATAGAAATGGGATAATTTAAGATAAATAGCTAGCTAGCTTCCAATAAGCCTGAGCCACAGACCAGACAGTTTATAATTAATATTAAACCTTAAACCTCTGAGTGATTATTTTATAAAAACAGCTGCTGCTCTGGTAGGACCTGGCAGGACTGAAAAACTTCTAGTCTGCTTTTGGCTGCCCAACGTGTTGGCTCAAGTTTCCACCTAAAACCTGAGAAAACTTGAGAAGAGATTCTAAAACAGAGCTTAAAACAGCTTCCTAGTTGTGTCTCTCAGACAAGCTGTGAACTAGAGTACGGCGGGTTCATTGCATGTAGGCTTGACCTACAGCATGGCTGATTCCCACCACAGTATGCAGAGGTATCTCCAATCCATGCAGCACACTCCATTATGGATTTAGCTTTTGCTAGCACAGAAAAAAAAAAAAAAGGAAAAGGAAAAGGAAAAAAAGGTTTCTGGGCTACACACTGCTTTTTGGAGGCATAGAACCTTCTTGGAGTTGGCGGCAGGTGTATCTCTGCTGTGTTGGGCACACACACACACACACACACACACACACACACATAGACACACATATATAGACACACACAGACATATACACACTCAGAGACACACAGACACACACAGATCCAAATAGATCCAAATACACACAGACACAGACACACAAAGACCCAAATACACTCTTACACACAGGCACACAAAGACCTAAATGTACACACACACGCACACACACACACACACACACACACACACACACACACACACACTTCCTCTATGATGGCAAATCTAAGTCTAGACCAAGCTGTCTGGATTACAGACAGACCACTGAGTTCTCTTCACACACTGCAGAGAAAGCATCAGCGCTTAGAGCACAGAACAGCAAATATTCATCCACAGATATGACTTCCCTCAATAAATGTATACTGTTAAAGAATTTTAAAGTACCAATAAGAAACCAAGGTCACCCACCATTATTTTATCTAGCTGTGTTTGTCCAGTACAGTTTGATTTATGGACTCTGCTATACTGATTTTCATTATATATATTTTATATTCATTTGTGGTGAATTGCTCCAATTATTAATATGTAGTTATCTTTACTTTTCCTAACTTTGGCTAGATATCTGCTTTGTCAGGTAGAAGCATAGCTACTCCTGTTTGCTTTTGCAGTTTGCTTAAAATGCAGCTTTCCACCCTTGCACTTTCAGTCTTCATATGAGTTGCCAGCTGATTGAGTTTCCTGCTGCAATAAGCAATTGGCTGTTGTTTTCTGCTTTTCAATTCAGCCTGCCAGGTGCATCTTTTACTCCAGAATTGAGACCATTTATATTTAGGTTAGAGTTGAAATGTTTGTGCTGAATGAAATCTATAATTTAGCAGGTTTCTGTTCATCTTTTGATTTTCCATTTTGTCTTCAACTACTATGTGTGCTTTTCTTTTTCTCTCATCTTAGATGTTTGCTGACTCACTGGCAGTTTACTTCCTATTGCAGTGAGAAACCATCATGAACAAAAGCTACTTGGGGAGGAAAAATTTTATTTGACTTAAACTTTCACATTAAAATCCACCACAGAAAGAAATCAGGTGGGAACTCAGGCAGGGACTGAATCAGAGATGCTAGAGGAACACATCTCACTAGTTACTCCTCATGGCTTGCTCAGCCTGCTTTCTTAAACATCCCAGGACCTGATAGTGGGTTTGGCCATCCCACATCTATCATCAGTCAAGAAAATGCTCCACAGACTTGCCAATCTGATGGAGGCAATTTCTCAGCTGAGGATTCTTCTTCCCAGATGACTCCAGTGTGTATCAAGTTGACAAAAAGCTAGCCAACACACTTACTGAGTCAATACTGTTGATTCCTGAGAACTGCAGGAGTTATTTTTCTCCTCAGCACTTGGGATTGTAGCTTTCTGTCTTCTTCCTTTGTGTTTTTATTTTCCTGTGAGTGTCTTCATCACTGCAGCCTCAGTGGTCAGCATTGTTTTACTTTTGTTCATCCTGAAGGTCTTTGTAAAGAACAAATTTGCTGTAGTCACATTGGTTGCCAGTTCTTTTCTTTGAGTGCCCAAAATACGTAGTTCCACATTCTGGCCTTTAGCATTTCTGTCAAGAAATGTGCTGTTCTGACTGGTTTGCCAATCAAGTACTTTGTTAGTAACTTGGCTCTTCTCTTAGTAACTTCCAGCATTCTGTTCTTGTTCTGAACTCTCTGCATTT